CTTTCTTATGATGAAAAAACAGTTATGGCTCACCTGTCATTTTAATCGGACTAGAAGGAGCAGAGTTGATTTTTCTGCGGTCATCTTGTATACTCTTGACCAGCTTGACTAAGGAATGATGTCGAGTAAAACCTCGCTTTGTTCCGGGTGAGGAAAAGAGATTTTTGGCACAGTTGTCAACAGAGGAACGGGACTCCAGAGGCCGTGATGCTGCTGTTGAAGTTGAGGTCCCCAGATCTATAAAACAAACATAAGCAATAACAACACATGATATAAGAAGTGACCATATACTGACAGCTTAAAATAAACACCATAAATAGGATTATGAGCAATTTCATGTGAAATATGCTACACTTGCCCTTTGGAGATGGTAAGTCTTCTGGCCCAGTCCACTTGAAAGCAGGCTTTCTTCCTCTATCCTCAGTCACATGCACTTTCTTTATCAGCTCTAGGCTGCTCAAAACATTTGCAATGTCATAAAGTCTGCGGATCTTAGCTGCCAACAAAAAAAGAGATCATTTAGATAATCAATTCCATCTTCACTGAGCAGACAGTTAAAATACAGACAAGTTTTAGACTCAAGCATTAAAAAAGGAGTTTCTTCAAAGCAGGTTTTACTGGCTGAGTACACCTGATAATGCACTTTTTGCAAGATTCGTAGCTGTCCGCTGAAAGGGAAAACAAATGTGCCATCCACTATAATAATGATTCAAAGTGCTTTTTATATGCACGATGAGAACAGCACTCACTTTTGAACTTGTTTTTGTCCTGATCGACAATGTGATCTTCACCGATGAGGATCTTGGCAGCTATTTCGAGACTGACCACAGGAGGGCTGGACACCAGGAACAACATGACGAACTTCTGACTCATCACTCTCAGAGATTTGTCTTTTCGACTGTTGGCCAAAGCTGCAGATAAAAACAATGGGCCTCAGTTAAATCTGCATACAAATGTTTCCTGAACAAATCATGATTTACCAATAACTTTTATACTAAAATGTATTCTAAATTTACAAAAATAAATAACGCAGGAACAATTGAAATCACATGTATGGAAAAATCACATACTCTGTTAGGGTTAAATTTCATACATAAATATTTCATCATATTCGGGGAACAATAAGAGAAGCTGTATTATAGAATGAGCTGCAAGGCTTCTCTGCATAAAAAAAACATTTTCAAGTTTTTATCATCTGACATTCGCTGCAGTTATATTCTAAAGTGACTTGATGCAATGTGACTTATAATGCAATTAACATAAAAGCATGTTTTTTTTCTTCTTTCAAGAATGTTTTTCCCCCAGACTTGACCCAATTTATTTTCCAAAAAATACGGTACTCCAAATTCATTAACATTAGAATGAAATTAAGAACAAATTCATGTGTGTATGCACGTGTCGTGTAGTGAATACATTTTTTTCATGAGAATTTCTTCTGATGTACAAATGCGAAATGATCCACACATTTAATAGTAAATGAAACCTAATGCCCTTCTATTATGCATGCATAAAATAATACAGTGTCGCCTTAAGCAGATGGTCGTACATTATGTTACCTGCTTTAGGATCTGCTCCTGAAAGCTCTGCTTGACTAGAGTCTCCATCCATATCAAAACCGGACATTTCTTCATTCTCCTTCTCCTCTCCGTTCAACTCAAACTCTCCCTCTTCTCGCTCTAGGCTTCTTTGACGGATCTGCTGCATCAGTTGGTCGTAGCGGTTCTCTTTGCCGGCCTGTTTCAGCATGGCAAGTGTCTGTGCAAGTTTCACTCGGCCATGCCACGTGTAGCGGTTCTTAGCCAGTCGGCTGACCATGTTTAGGCTCTCGAGAACGTTCATGATGTCGTAGATGCGACGTCGCTCCACATCTGAGAGGTTAGTGAGAATGAAAGCAATCAGGATTGATGAAACACATGATTTGGTGACTGAAATAAGTCGTTTTGTTTGATCATTGAACAACTTACTTAGTTCTGTCGCCACATCGTCGAGGCTGATGTCGTTGTTTACAGCAGGATTGGGGTAGTTTGGGTACCTTGCAAGAAATTTGTAACACAGCAAACCCAGGCTTTTGTCTTTACGACTTGTCTGGAGCTTTTCTACTTCTTCCCCTTGTTCAGGCTCCTGCGTGGCACGACAATGGAAAACACACACATATATATCAAAAATTTTTTTAGCAATACAGACAGTAAATCAACAAATAGTGGGAGATGCATGAGATGCACACGGACTTCTATCGATACCTGGGAGTTTTCCGATTCGCCGCTGTCTACAGCTCGCTCTTTCTCGCGGTTGCGAATCTCAGGACTGGCTGCACTGATGAGCATCTTCAGGTTGGAGGTAGGTGTCCAGGGATCGCTTGACGGTGCCTCAAGGCCCTTAGTAGGTGTTGTCAGGGGCCCCATGTTCTTATGGCTCTCCAGTAACGCGGCTTCTGAAGCCTTACTTGAGTTTTTTAGTGGTGTTTGTGGCTCCACAAAAACATGCCCCTATTTCATAGAAAAAAACATTAGGTTAGGGCTGTCGCGGTGAGGGAATTTCCCTTGCGGTAATTTTGAGTGGCTCAATAGCGCGGTATGCGGTATTATCGCGATACACATACACACACACACACACACACACACTAATAAAACACGCTGTTGAAATCATTTCAACTTTGAGCGCCACTTTAGAAGGCTCAGCTGACCAGCTATGCATCGATGCTAAGACAGAGATTTCACTTTCCTTGAACATGACAATTGCATTCCTCTGCGGTTTGCTCTTCAATAGCACGGTATTGCGATAATCGCGACAGCCCTACATTAGGTCTTATCGATCATGATCATGCTGTTTTTCAAGAAATGTTTCTAGAGTAGAGTTTCCTAAACCTTTTAATACAAAAGGCCAAAAGCCAAAGTAATTGTTGCATTATATCCAACTATATTATATTAAGACATTTTTATTCTTTACATTTCAATGCAAAAATGAAAAATGTTAACGCAGAAAGATAAATTAGAAATGATGATATGCTTCAATGGTTTATTTTTTTTTCTTCCTATTTTTCCCTTTTGTGATATGATATGACAAGACAAATCAAAGGTTAACACAGATCAACTTTGTCCTGGAGGCCTTTGTTTGGGCATGTTTGCTCTAGAGCAGTGGTTCCCAACCCTGGTCCTGGAGGCACCCCAACACTGCACATTTGGCATGTCTCCTTTCTCTGACACACCAATTTCAGGTCTTGGAGTCTCTACTAATGAGCTGAAGATCTGAATCAGGTGTGTTTGATTAAGGAGACATGCAAAACATGCAGTGCTGGGGTGCCTCCAGGACCAGGGTTGGGAACCACTGCTCTAGAGTATGGCAAGTTAACTTTATAGATTCTTCAAATCACTGTTTTGTGATTTTGAAGCCAAAATATCTATAACTGACCGTGTCATTTTCTGATCTTTCCTTGAATGGGCTTCTTAAAGGTTTCCTGATTAGCTTTTGACCTTCTGATAATGTACTGGACATTTTCCACCTAAAGAAAAGGCAACGTTAAAATAATCAACGTCCACTTATTATTATTTACATTTAATAAAGCAGTCCTACCGTTTCTTTACAGCATTATACATTCTTGGAGACAACATTGTGAAGATCAGTCCGGGTATAACGTTCAACAATTTCTCGCTCAGCTAAAACTGATTTTTAAAACTTAACAGATGTCAACCAATGTGCATAAATTAAAAAGTATTATGATTTCAAATTACAGTGTTGTTTTTTTGCGCTTAGTAATAACTGACAAGCGTTCCATCGAATGGCTACGGAGAACTCGTACGAAAACACGCCCCCAACTGACAGCAGCCAATAAGTGCAGCGCTAGGAGGCGGGACTTCACCTCGTCCCGCGCGCCTCCACACTTTTTGAAAACTTGGCGCGGAATCTCGCCGATTGCAAAAGATTTAATCCGGAAGTTACTAACTTTAATACAATTTAAAAGAATTCGTTTAGCTGCCCGATGGTCGTGCGCCTTGGATAACTCAAACAATCTATGTAAACTATTAAGCAGTTTTTTAAATGACCAGAGTACCAGCAGAGGTAGCTAATAACTCAGTCGCTTACGTGCTGTATAATATGTTTATTTAGTATAAAGTGCATAATTATCGCCCAGGAACTAATTATATAAATATACGTACGAACTACGATCAAGACTGTAGTCATGTTGGCTCATAACACTACAAAACTAAGTTAGCGGTTTCACAGTCAGTTAGCGCGGGTTCAAAACTAACTTACCAAGAGCCGCGCCAGTCTGGCTTGTGTCCTAAATGTATGATATTAAACGAAATTAACGTACGTTTTATATTATACGGACAAATATGATCTGTCGATTAATTTTATTAACTAAAGCGGATATGTTAAGCCAAAACAAGCCTGAAACCAGCTAGCGTTAGCCCGCAAGCTTACAGCTAACCACATAACATTACACTTCTCCCCAGTCTACATAGTGCAAAACTACAAAAACATGATACAATATAAAAGTTACTCACCCAAAAAGAGAAATGTACCACTTTCACATACTACTCGACATCAGTCGTGCCCATAAATCCATAGTAATACTGTACAGGTTGGTATTACACGTAAGTTATACAGTTCCAGGTCTCCAATAATACCGCATCCAACACTTCTGTAAATTAACTTAATAATTAAAAGTCGTATTAAAGTAACCGAAAATGAATAAAAAAGAGAAAACAACCCGCTTTTGATGCATAGCTGAGGGAAAGTTGTATGTGGCCGTTTCCTAGTGCGTAAAAAAGTTTATTTGATCAGTCTGACCATTTGTCCCGCCTAGATACTGGACACAGGGCGCTACACTCGCCCCGCCTCCGCTCGCCTCTCCGCCAATCACAGCTGGAGGAACCCAGACTGGAGGCGGAGTCAGACTTCCGCTGCTACTACCACAGCAGGTCAGGGGGGTAAAAAGCCATAGACTGTATAAAAACAGGTAAAAACCAAAAACTCAGTGAACCAGGCTGTTGCGTGGTCCTAGATACACATCACGGTAAAAACAGCAGTTTATCGACTTCCTTCTTATTTCAGAAGACAAATGTTCTCAAATGAGAGAAAATGTGTTTTGACAGGGATTCAGTTTTATTGAAAGTTTATTATATATATTCTATATACAAAAATATTGAAAATGATAGCCTATTAAAATGAGATGTTTTGAGAGCTGTTTTTTTTTTTTCATTTTAGCCTTTAAAAACATCCAATGTGTATACATTAGCGCTCAACATTTTTAAATATGGTTTTCTTTTTCTTTTTTCCTTTCTAAATGTTTTTGAAAGAATCTTCTTATGCTCACCAAGTCTGTATTTATTTGTTAAAAAATACAGTAAAATTGTGAAATATTATTATAATCTAAAAGTATCTGTTTTCTATATGATTATATTTTAAATGGAAAAAATTTTTTTACGCTGAATTTTCACCAGTCTTCAGTGTCACATGAATCATTCTAATATGCTGATTTGGTGCTCAAGAATGTATGTATGTAAGTATGTATGTATGTATTTGTTTATTTGTTTATTTATTTGTTTAAAGCACAAATAAATAAATAAATAAATAAATAACGGTGGTACCCCCTTTTCCTGCAAGATTCTTTGAAAAAAAAAAATTCAAAAGAACATTTATTTGAAATATAAATATTATGTAACATTATATATTTTTTTATTGTCACCTTTAACCAATTCAGTCCATCCTTGCTTAATGTTTTTATTTTATTTTTTTTAACATTTATCTTACTTACCCCAAACCTTTGAATGCTAGTATATCATGTTTTCCATAAAAATGTATAGCAGCACAACTGTTTTCAACATTGATAATAAGACATGTTTTTTTGGGCATCAAATCAGCACATTAGAATGATTTCTGATGCATCATGTGAGTAATAGTAATAGCTCGAACATTTACTTGCATATTTGCAAATTTTTTGTTTTTTCCCCATCTTTTCTCGCATTGAACTGTTTGAGATTTAACTATTAAATATTAAACGAATCTAGCCCAGTCATGTTATTCTTGCTGCACAGTACATTGTTTATGTATCAGATTATCGCTAGCGACACTGCCTTTGTCTGCCGCGAGGTGCCGCTGTGCGTATTCGCTGTGGACGTTTCCATGGAGACGTTCGCCGGTATGAAGTGGCGAGAAAAGAGCAGTGTGCTCGGAATGACGTAATGTGATGGATTGAAGCCGCTGTAGCGCCGGTCCCGCGTGCACTCACTGCTGCTCCGCTCCGCATCCCTCAGCGGACTCTCTGCGCTCTTGTTTGGGTGAGTTTTCTGCCTATAGTCATTAAATAAGCGCTTCGGAGTTAAATATGCTTTATCACACCTTATCGATAAGCGTTGCGGTATGAATTGTTTTTCAATGTTATATTTTTATATTGAATCACGTAAGAACCAAAGGATTTCGACTACAATGCGAGTGTTATGAAGGAGGGGCTGCATGGCAGAGATATGATTACTTAAATTGAGAGTTTCTATTCAAATTCATGCATATAAAATGCCAAAAGTCGGAATAATGTTTTAAAGTATTTTAAAACAAATCTTTAGATGGTTATTTGTTTGTGTGTCGCTTACGTATGAGCTCATTTTTATCGAAATCAAACTTGCACAATATGTCAATTGCAGAATTTGTACTTTGGGGAGAAAGGTTTATTGAGGTCAGCGCTTTTTTTGCTTATTTGTTGTTTATTGGATGTTTAATGATGAATTGTGATATATTATACTATTATATAACTATAATAAATAAATATCAATGTATGGAATTACGCTTGTTTAGCAGCATCTCAGTCTTTCTCATTAAAGTTGTAAATGTAATGCATTTTCATATGTATATCTGACAATATGACATATTCCCTGTACTGCATTTAATGTTAAGTTACTTTTGAAATGCAAGTTATTTTGCCCTCACTGTCATTTTTTATTAAAATAAAATGGAATTTGCTTTGTTTTGTTTCCTTCTGACCCACATGCACCTGTTCATGTAAAGAAGACCAATCGTGGAGCAAAAGTACCATCTCTGGATTTGTGCTTTTTGAGGATTTTACAAGACCCGACTGTGATGTAAAGCTGCAAGAACATGCCGCTGTGTCATATGCAAGTTTTCAGATCATCAGGAAAATGACTTTGTGAATACAGAAATGTGTAATTATGAAGTTGGGGTCGCTGGTCACAGGGGCCCTTCCCCCCTTCTCGATGCCTGTCACAGAGCAGCCGTGCTGGGCTTCATCTGAAGGGATGCACCATGGTGTGATCACGCGTCTGTCCTACCCCAGACTCAATGAATCGCACGAATGAATGGACATTACTGTGGCAAAGGGAATTAGCTTGGTTGCATATGGGACTTTGGATTTGGGAATACTGGAACCAGTCGGAGAGCGTTGGATTTTTATTTGAAGAAGTGCAGTGGATACTTCAAGGAGTGTTTGTGGAAGATGTCTGAGAAGGGAGCCGAGGCATCTACATCTCAGCCCCCAAAGCGGAAGCAGGTGATTCATGGTCTGGAAGACCAGAAAAAGGTTAGTGCTTTGATTTGAGGTGGTAGATAGCATCATATCTTATGTATAACTACAGCGTTTCCTAAATTTGGTGCTTGATCTTTTCCTAAACACCCCTAATTTGCTTTCAAACATTTCAGCTTCCAAACACAATTGTGTCTGGATTTGATTCTTCAATCGCCGTTTGCAAATGATACATTTTTTAGTTTTATTTTCATGCTAAAGTAGAAACTTGGAACACTTTCACCTTGGCCATGCTGCACATTATCCAGTGATTTATGGTCAGCACGTCCCTTGGCATATGGCCCAATAGCATAGCACCAGGTGCAATGGCTGCTTAATTGACTTGTGCTGAGATTTGTGTGTCTACTTTATGACTGCTTGCAAATGCATGTGCTGACCACAAAGCTTGTGGATAATTTTAGACTTTATAGCAGTGAAGCATGAGACAAATTATGCCAGAGTCTTGGTGTTAATGTAAGAGTGTGATTTGCTTGGTTTAGTTTTATTTGAAAGCAAATCCTAAGCCTCTCAATGCAGATTATCACTCATGCAAGTTTTATAAGAAAATAAACAACTAGTAATGCAGAATAACTTCAGGGCAGGCATCACAAACCTTGGCGTTCTTTGCATCCGATCCAGTTTCAGGCGCATTCTGCTCTCAAGAGCCGAACTAATTGGCTTAGAGATTCCTCAAGGCCCATGTTTCACTTCCGTCTTTGGGAATCTGATTTTACATTGTAAACGGATACCCATTTGCTTGCCTGTCCAAGTATGACATGTTTTGCTTGGTGTAAATCCTAGCGTGAAGCGAGTAGATGAGGCTTGGGCTTCCTGGTTGCCCAGCTGGATCCTTCCGGGGCATTTTGGTTTCTCGCCCAGACTTAAAGGAGAGTCTTGGAGGACTGTTAAAATATACAGACTCATTTTGCTGAAATTCTTGGTGGATGGGCTTTTTTCCATCGTCCTCTTTTGTTTGAGTCGATTAGAGATGTAAAATTGATCACCTGGGATTCTAGTTGAAAATGAATTAATTAAAGTAGCAAAAAGCACAGCTGCTCTTTTCCAATTTTCCAGCATGATGAACTCTTGTTAGGACACTACGCCTTCGCTAAGACGAACACACACCATGACATAAAGAAGATTGTTGGCATAAAAGACAAAATTCAAGTACCTAATTCCATATTCAAGTTATCAAAAGGATGATATGAATCAGTAATTTGTTCAGTTTGAACGTGGCACTGTATTTTGTATTGCACAATGGTCTCTGTCAACCGAAACCGGTGGTTTTGAATAGATCTATCCATCTACGGTCCATTGTTTGTGGAATAACAGGGGTCTCCCTGGATCTGAGGCTAGGTGTTTCCCAATTACCTCATGCTATATAGATTTCCCTGAGAGAGCTGCTCCTGCTTTGGTTAATTGGATTTTCTCCCACTATTCGGCCTGATTTTTTGATTACGTTCATCAAATGACATTTCCTGGGAGAGATGCAGGTAACGCACTTCATTGTGGAATTGCTCGTTGATGTGAAGCTTACATCATTTTTTTTTCAGTCTGAAGCTATGAATTTTAGATTAGGGCCTGGTAATGACAAAGAGCCAGTGAACTCCTGTTCTCTGTTCATTGACAGCAGGAAGGGTGAATCAATGAAGAGGCTGAATAAAACATTAATGAAATAGGTATAATTGAAAAAGCATAGTGACTTATATTGAGTATAGCATCTCCGAATGTTGCATTGCTTTGTTTGGCTTCAGGAGAAACTAAAGTGCGTTCTGCATATGTTTTCTGCTACCGTCAATGTAAAAGCACAGTAGAAGGTTTCTTAATGGATAGCTATATTTGGTAGCATTTCCATTCCATTCTGTGATTTTTTTTTTGTGATTTTTTGGGGGGGGGCTTGTGAAATAAAAATTCAGTCATCATCATTTACTCTCCCTCAGGTTGTTCCAAACCAGTTTGAGTTTTTTCTTCTGTTGAACACAAAAGAAGATATTTTGAAGAATATGGTTAACCAAATATTTGACAGGAGCCATTGACATCCATAGTACAGAAAAAAAATACTATGGAAGTCAATGGCTACTGTTAACTTTGGGTGAGTAAATGAGGACAGAATTTTTTTTTTTTTTTGTGAACTATGCCTTTAACCTCTATGTTTAAATATTTTAATTCTAGTTGGCAAATGGCTATAGTAAGAAGCTTGTTTTTGAGTAAAATGTATGGTAAAATGATAGAGCGGAGGTTGCCCTTAATGTTATCGGTGTGTGAATGAAGTTTGCTGTTTTTTTAGAGTGCAATCATGTTTTTTGTGATATAATTGTGATATGTAAATCTATGATGATTTGATAAGTAATGACACATAGTCTACTTTTTTTTGATGTGATATGTACCGCATTCTTTTGAATATCTTTTAATCTTACTTTTGTGGTTACTGAAATGCCATTTGAAAACTTTAAAACATACATTTACTTATGCAAAAGAATATGCATTTTTAAGACCCCCATGCCTTTGCCCTTGCTTTTTACATTAGCCTAGCTAAATAACAGATCATGCTTTTAATGTATTTATACTTGCCTGCTTTTTATTTTTCCTCTTACTTAGATTTCTTAATTTAGAAAGCAAAAGAAACAATCTCAGTGAAATTACATGTTTCTTTTTTCTTTTTTTAAATCTCAGGTTCATCTTTTGCTTGTTTTATCAACCACTGAAACTCACCGACTTGCTGACCGCTGAAGAACCTGAGCTCTTTTCTTAAGGGATGGTTAGTTACTAACACAAATAGCCAGTTCTCAGAAGAATGTTTTATTCTTTTCACCATTTCTGCCCTGTTGATTCATAACCTGACCCTTTCAAAAGCCAACATGAAAAACTGTGGTCTTTTGTTAATGTTTGCATAAAAAGAGCAGATTTTTTTGATATGTTGAATTGGTCTGCTTTTGAAATTTTAGCTCCTCTTAGTTGGCATGGCTACTGTCAGTAGTGTACATTAGACTGTGTTTATTGAGGCCACACACAGTGGAAACAGACAGAGCCTACAAGTGCTATATTATATTTCCTTCAGTATGGAAAAATGATGAATGCATTTTTAATTGTATTTCAATTGCAATCTCTATGCAATGGGACTTCTAGACCAGGGCAAAAGCTTTGACACAGATCAGCAGTTGCATGTGATTCCCTGTCAAGAGAAACTGTTTCTTCTGAAACATGTCTGGAGAGATTTCCTGTGCTATTGGGAATGGGAGAGTGACGGTAATTGTAAATCAAACTGTTTGGCTGTGACATCTTGGACATCAGATTGCTCTCATTAGGATGAGAAGCCTGTGTGTGTTTGTGCTTGAGCTGAGAGACTGTTTGTTTTGATCTTCTTCATTTTATGTCATATGGTGTGAAGTGTTGAAGTGTTAAAGTGCATGTGTGTTTTGACTTATTAAGGCCGCTGCCTTTGATATTGATACTCTTTGGGATCATTTTGACAGTAAAGAGAGAATGATGGGATGCTTTAAAATTTTTGATGCCATATATAACCCCAAATATGATCTCTCATCCACTGATATAATGACCACGTATTACTATTTTTATTTATACAGGCCCATTTATGCTGTGAACTATTTTATTAAATATGAATATTATTAATATTGTTAGTTTTATTAAATATTACTATAAAAAATAAATTCAATATTATTACATGTCCTATCCTATTACAAAAACATGTTGTTTCCTAAATTCAGTATTTTATTTAAAATTAGCTTTTTTTAAAATAAATTGTTAATTCACAAAAGTGAAAGCAAAATATAAAAAATCTGGAAAAACAGCTTTACAGAGAATACTGGCTTAGTTAGAATAAATGTGTCTGTAAATAGTATAAAAGTGGCATGATTAATCTTATGGTTTCCAATTTGTCCTTAAAATGCAAAAAAAAAAAAAAAAAAAAAAAATAACTGACCTGTTAAAATGTATTTAGTTTGATAATATTATTTTAATAATATTCAAATAATTTATTAATTTTAGAATTTATATTAATTCCAAAATAATTTAATATTTAATTAACATGTTAACTTTGGCAAAAGTAAAAACAATGCGTTTTGTAAAGTTTTTTTTCTTTTCTTTCTCATTTTCAGCATCTTCTCATGGGTCTTTGAAAAACTCTGTCATTGGCTATATTTGCAAAAATGTTGAGAGATGATGAGAGATAAATACACTTATGGAAAGAGCCTTCTAAGGTTTTTCATTAAGTATTGATTCAGTAGAAATACTCAATCACCTTTTTGTTTTCTCCTGGAATACATGTTGGTTTTACATGGTGTTGTATTGTATTGCATGTATATGCCAAACAAGCGATATCTCCTTCCTCACTGTTCTGTAATTATTTAAGTGTATATTGGCAGTAATGTTCTTGCTGTTACAGTTTTAACTGGAGTGCTAAAACTGCATCAAAGACACTAATTGCCATTTTGAACAGTATATGTCTGTGCACCTTTATTTAGTAATGTTGGCTTCCTTCCCAGAGATGCAAAGAGAGCGAGAGAGACCGCTGACAGCCTTGGTTGATCGTTTGCCACTGGCCCATTCTAGAAATATCTGAGTCTAACTGAACATAATATCAGTGAGGCAGGAAAGCTCATTGAAAAATGACTGTCACAGCCTCTTTATTTACAGCCAGCCATTATCACCGTAATCAGGTTTTCCTCCCCTTCCCCCCGCCAGAGTTTCTCCACTGGGGATGAGAAGAACTGTGTGCTTGGCTCTCTCTTTTTACACCTCTTTGACAATTCATCTCAATAACTCCTGCGAGGAACTGCTCATCCGTAGAGGAAGGTCTTACTCTCTGCCGGCGGAGATCTGAGAGACATAAGGTTTCTGAATGATGACGACAGTACAGGCCACTGTATTATGATCCGAGCATTGGATAGTAGTGCAATGGTTTGTATGGCATTGTAGTGAATTTTTGTATAGCATAGTAGGAGATTGTTTGGTATACTACAGTTTGTTGTATAATATAGCATAGCGTAGTTCAGTCATAT